TCAACTGCTTTGTCAGGTTTATTCTAGTTCAGATAACTTAAAGGTCAGTAAGAATTATAGGTAATAGGGGAAAGCTTTTTGACCAAATTTTCTATTGTGGAAAGAATAGTTCTCCTTCTTTCAATAATCAGTCGAAGCAGTTATTGTTTTAAAACAGAATAAAGTACTGTGTAAAACAGGCACATAATTATTTTAGTTTTAAAACCTTTTATTTCAGATAAAGCATGCTGCTATATACAGAAAAAAATGTGGGTTAAAGCAAGAGCAATACAGAATGGGCAACGTATTCCTTAAAACTTACATATTCCTTAAAACTTACAAGATGCTTTTAAAAACTTCAGTGCACCAGTAGTACTATATATCCTTCTCACTCCTAAATCACCTCTAGCAAAATGACATTTCCTCACAGGTCCTGAGCAACCACAGCTATCTCTAGCTTTCATATAATGACAAATTCAGGTTTCCAACAGAAAACTTACACAATGGTTTCAGCAAATGACTTCTACCAGTATAATATATTGAAGAAATATAACTTCACATTGCTAATATGTTATTTCAAACAGCATCATTCAACTATGCAAACTAAGTATGTTTTACATTTAGCAAAGTCTAGGCCAGGCTCAGTCAGTTTTCCTTTTCATCTCTCTTTCTCCTACTTAATTACCTTTACAGCAGTAAAACTCAGTAAAAGTCTCATTCCTCTTCCTCCTAAAGAAATACCATCAATAACTTCCCTCTCATTTTCTTCTAGAGTTAGTCAAGAGAGTACAATAGCGATGTTTTCCTGTATACTGAAGTTACATTTGATATAGTAAAGGACAAAGCTAATCTACTTTATAATGAAGAACACGAACCGGGTTGTATCATGATTTTTACTTTTGGCGACAGTGAACGGACACCAGGCTAACAACAGAAATCTACAGAAGACAGGCACTCGGAGCAAGGCCCTAGCAGAAAGTCTTTCCTGTGTGTGTGACACTCTTAGGCTCTAACTCAGGACAGCAGTTAAGTTTTTACTGTAATTCTCTGTCTCATGTATTTGCCTGCTAAATGTGGGCTTTTAACTTTTAACGTTAAGGATTTGCGCCGATAGGCCGTGATGCCAGTTGCGCAATTTGGCAAAGCGTGGGCTGTTACGTTCCGTTTCAAACCTTTCCCTGTGGCATGAAGAAAGAGCGAGAGAGAAAGACAGAGACAGAGAGAGAGACACAGAGAAGAAAGAAAGGAGGGAGAAAGAAAGGGGTTAGGGACCATGGCTACCACTCCCCTGCCTTATAACTAGGGCAATGGCAATTTATTTGGATTTTTTTCCTCAGCTTTCAAATCAGCACAAAGAAGGCTTTGATCCTTTTTGGGCCACGTAGGAACGGTTTTGCAGTTATTAATTTGTGAGAAGTAACTTGATATAACTTCATATTCTTTGACTTGTGCTTGGTACTACAGGGCTGCTTTTGCTAGAAATGCAGTGTAATCCCATTGTTTTCCTGCCAGCAGATTCCCTCGGCTTTTCCCTCCTCCCCCCGCCCATTGAGCAGTCAGTGAAAGTAACTCCAGACAAGAGCTAAATTAATGCAAATATTTTCCATTCTGTAATACCTAGGTCAGCCTATATATATCCTGCTGTCCTTCCTGTAAGGACCATCAGCCACAGGTTTCAGCAGTACTTTTCTATAGCTTTTCTCAGCATAAATGAGTGTAAGTGTTGACATTGGCATAAACATTTCTGGTCATTTGTGTCAAAAAGCAAAATAACATGGGATTTTCAAAGCACAGTCCCGTGAAGTACTGGCCACCTCCTGCGCACAGCCCTAGCTACCTTTGACTGCAGACCGGGGCGCTCGATCAAGTTGTAAGCACCTCCGAGGATTTAATCTCTTCTAGATGTTCTATAGTTTAAATTCAGGTTTTGTAAATAAAAAGGGGAAGGAGGAGGAGGATGTGGGATGAGAGCACAGTCAAGGAGAAGCATATAAAACAGAATGGAAAATAAAGTGTTCTTGTTATTTGCAAAACAAGTTAATTTTCTCCTCATTATTTACACCCAAAACGCAAGACAATTGTGTTAATGCAGCAGAACTTGAGAGTGAAACCAGCCAAACAGAAATGAACAGTCTGGGCTGGTTTTACTCCTCAGGCTGCAGAAAGCACAAAACAATAAACAGAGCAAATGCCAACAAATTCACTGATATTTCTAAATCTTCTGTTCCTAATAACACAGTGTCATGCAAGTAACACTCTAAAAGGAGTCTCAATGTATGACTTCTCAAACTATCTTTTATGCTTTTAAGTAATTAAAAGATACAAAGTATTCCTAACTGAAGTGCTGAAACTTCATGATGGCATTTTTTCAAGTTACATTGGAGCATACTAGCTACAGTGGGTCTTACATGAAATTTAAGAATTCCGTTACTGCTTTGAAGATACACCCCTCCATTCAAGGAAAAGGTATTCAGAAACATCTGTTCAGCTTGAAATGGATACCATCTTTCCGGAAAATATTCCGTAACAATCATCACAACAGCAATGGAAAGTTTTCATAGCAAGTTATAATCTTATCTGTGCCTTCAAAATAGCAGTAGCATGAGCAAAGGATAGTCTTGCAATGCGCTTGTTAACATTAACTGAAAGGAATATTCTGCCACCTGAAAATTCGCAAGCTTTATGGGTTCTGTTCAAGGCACGTGTCCTGAAGGTAGGAGCAACAATCTAGAAGAGACTATTATGTAAAACAGTTCCGCAAAAAATAAGCTGCATGTATTTTTTTTTTTTTTAACCCCAATATTTTTTTTCCCAGGTGTTTGGAAGAAACTTGATCACCATTTCATGCAGTTCTTGCTGACTACACTGAAGAGCTGACACAAAGAGACAAGAGAAAGCACCAGAGAGAGATCGCTCACAGCATGCCCCGAGACCAAAATTCGCCACACTGTGAAATCTCTGACAGTTTAAGTTTTGGAACGTGAAGGATTTTTCCAGAATGCCAGCACAGCATGGGATTAATGCAACACTGAATCTGGCAAGACCCAGGTTCCACAGTTCCATGGAAACCTTTTCATTCAGGAGCCCAGGAAGCCTTCCAGGGGATCCCAAACTGTAGGCATGGAGAAAGATGTGGTTGTACAGGCTGTCTGGAGTAGATACTGAAGAGGAGTTTCTACTCCATTACTGTACTGGAAGAGTGGAGTTAAAATATGGGTTCTGTGCATCTGACATAGGTCTTTCCATCCTTTACAAAATCAAGAGTGGCAGGGGCCTTGCCAAAAGATTAAACAGAAGGGGTCCCATAGGCCCAAAGGAGTAGTATATGATGGATGCGTGCATAACCAGGGCTGTTGCTACCAAATCTGCAGTGGAGTGTGTGCAACGTTTGGGGTAGGTACCAAGCCACCAAGACGGGGCAAGCACTGTCAGTTAGGCAGGAAGGAGACCCCATTTCATTCCTTGCACCAGAGCTCACGCCAATTGCACTGTACCCGTATAACTACATAGTATATATTCCCTTCTGCCTCTACCACCAATGAATGACCTTAAACCTCTTTAGGTAATACAGCTGTACCTAAATATACTCATAACTATAACTGTCCTCGTGAAAAAAAGGATAACAGTGATACCTCAAAACTGCAGAAAACGTGCAAAGCACAGTGGATACATATACTTTAAGTTACACTGAATAGAACGTGCAATTTACATATGTTGATGTGTTACTAGATAATTGTTTTCAACATATCTGATACCATGTTACATTTCCAATAGCTAGTATTTTCCAAAGCCACAGACTACGGCTAGAAAGATTATTTAAAACAACATATTACTCTCAGATGTGTAGGGAGGACTGTTAAGTTCAGCACAATGCTTTAAATGCCATCATAGTAAGTATTTGGGTGTGTGCTATTACATCAAAACAGATAACATGCAATCCATTTAATAAGAATTAGGCTTGCACATTTGAGGGAAGAAATAAATCTGTGAGGGATGTAACATCAAGCCTTATGTTCAGGCACCTAGCCATGAACTTTGGTGAACTGCAATGGAAGGTTTATAGCAAACATAAACTGAAGGTATACTTATTGTATTTTCACAGGGAAGACATCTTTCTCACTGATTCAACATTTGTAACTTGCACTGTGATCAAAAGCTCAAAACCTTTATAGAGGCCATGTGGCAGTAAAAAGAAAAAAAAAATAGAAAAAAGAAAAAGAAGAGAAAGTGGATTGAGTATCAAACACATCATAAACCCAGCCAGTGGCTGCGGGTAGCTAACGTGATACAGGGATTTGAAGTATGCAAACAGAAAATCAGTTTTTAAGCTCAACATAAGAATCTGTAATAAATCTATTTCCCAGCTGTGTAGGACAACATAACATGATGATAATTCTTTAATTCCTTATTATATCTCTGAACATATCCACTTTTTCAGTGGTTTTGGTAGATCATATGAAACAAGCACATTTATCCACTAGCAAAAGCAGTCCTGTGCTTCCATGTTCTACAAATTTGGGTTGTATTTATTCCAAACAAGACATAAGCAAATGATTATGGATATGGATGGAAACAAGTCCTTTACTGTGTCATTTCAGGAGAATCAAATGTCAATCACAGGTTCATCCAAATAAATTGCTCACAAATTTCTGTGCTATCACAACATTATATATATTTTCATCCAGTTACACAATCAAGTAGTTACACAGGGCTTGGTCTTAGGAACTCATTGCATTCACACACCCAGTAAAGTACACGAAAGTTGCATGTGCAGAGAGCTTTCAGATTTGAACACACACTTCAGGAATTTTGCACTGTCTTTCCTAAAAACATGCTACTTCATTATCCTTTTCATTCAAATACCTCTCATGGATAGCATTTTAATTTTAGTGATTTTTAAGTAAATGTATTAGAATATTTTAAGACAAAAAGATAATAACATACATTCATATTAATGCTGTTTTAAAACATTATTTGGTTATCAGTAAGGAGAAAGCTGTATTTTTCAGAGAGTTGCCTACCTTGACCTCCTCAGGGCTTCTTCATCTGGATCTTGCACTGCAGGCAAAAAAATGTTTCAGTTCAAAAAGAAAGAAAGAAAGAAAGAAAGGAAGGAAGGAAGGAAGTAGGCGGCTTTATGATGAAATTATAAGTTCTTTAGAAACGTATCAACAGCCTATCTAAAGGTGCATTCATGCTGACTTTGCAGCCATAGATTTTGTAAGAACAGCACAAAGAGGAGCAGTTCCCTAGAGCCAGGAAGAAAGATGTTAGTAGGAAAGCAGCTCTTACAACTACTTTCTCGTTCATTTATTAGCAATGTTTCACAGCTGTAGGCAGTGATTCTACAGAGAGGGCCTGCTGTTTTGTAGGAAAGCATGAGAGGCAGCAGCAGATTCCTATGAATCTGATGTGGGAAAGGTCCCTGAACTTCCTTCTCTCTAGATCAGAAACAAGCTCTGAGGTTAGTACCAGGTGGTCAGAAAAACATTTCCATAGGCAACAAAGTTCAAGCTCCCATGACATTCATAGTAGATCTAGGTTTAGGTAACAGGGCTGATGATAGAGAACCATAGGTTCAATACAAATGGTGATCCAGGATCTTTTTTGACCTCCGGAAGTCACTTCTATAAAAGACTGTTACAATAGACATAAGTTGTTTATCTTTTTTTCTAATGAATGGACAGCTTTGTACGTCTAGGCTGCTGGAAAATGAAAGATTACACTGCGGAGATTTGATCCGTAAGAACGAACAACTATGGGGTCCCAAATGCTCTTTTACTGCATAGTCTGTTGTACTTTTCATGGTGAGACCCCTGGCAGACCAAAGAGTTTTCTTCATAAGCATAAGGCGAGATTGAACACTTTGATTTCCTAGTTCCCTCAAGTTACATCCAGGGTTCTCCAATCTTAGCCCTCACTGACAATGACTACAAGCTGGACATGAGTCGTCCTTGAGTATCAGTTGCTAATACTGGGGGAAGAAAATAAAGACATGAATCTAAAATCAGGATGAGGGGGATGTTTTCTTATTTGACTTACTGTACTCCGTTCCAGTCATCTGGGCAAGGATGCGAAAAGACCTAGACTGCAGATTGGCAGAACGGCGACTCCAGTCTTCGGTTTCATCTTCAGGCTTGTTCTGAGTTTTAAGCACAGCCTGATACACCGGAGAGGCACTGTCTACGTGAGGATCTTTAATAGGCAGGGTACTGCAATTCAGAAAGTGAAACGCTGTGAAACAGCACATGGTAGCTTTCATCCCAACCTCTCTCTGGTCTTACAGCTTCTCATCCAGAGTAACAGCAATCCAAAACACAGCTTTGAAAACAACATCACTTTTAAAAAAAAATACATAGATCAATTTTAGATGAATTAAGAACGTTATGGGTCATTCTATCTTTGAAATGGCCTGTTATCATTCAGATCTGCATATTCAAAACAGCGTGAAAATGCTTGGAAATGTCTGTTCACAATTCCTCAGCCAGGGCAGCCACAAGCTTACGGTGGTTAGAACAATGTGTGGTGATAAAGGAGAGTATGCCAGGCAAAAACATTTCTTTCTCTGAGCATTCTCGTCCCATATTATTTCTTATAAAAGCAGCTTCATATTGATACTGTTTTATGTTATGTCTTATTACAGTTTTGGGCCAGTGTATTTTAAGGTTGCAATTAAAAATTAAAAAAAAAATTCATTGTAAAAATAATGTGATAGGCTTTTATAGTCTTTTCTAGAGGTTTCTATTCTTTGCCAAACTCTGAATTAAACTTCCAGCTGCCATAACTCTGGATTCATTGTCTACTAAACATGTGAAGCATAAGAAGTCTAGGCTTGCTCTCAAGACTCGCAGACATATTTTGTATCTGAAATCTTTAACAGCAGAATGCATCTTGAAGTCTTACGACATCTCTAATCACCTTGCAAAGTCAGATATCCAGGAAGAAACTTCCAGTTTTGCCCGCCTAAAGTCAAAGCTACAAAGCTCTGTAGCACAAGTGAGGTAACCTCTCTTTGATTTATGATGCAAGCTAGAAACAGACTTTGTAACTTAATAGCTTTTTTTTTTCCTGCGAAAATAACTTCTGCATAGCATACAGTTAAAATTAAATATTAGCAGAGCTGCAGAAATATACACTGAAGGAATGATGTGTGCTTGGAGTAACTTGGCTCCATGACTTCTCTAAAGACAAGGTCTATTTTTGAAGCAAGTGATTTATTGTAACAGCTTTAACATGCTATTCCATGTAGAGCTTTGCAAGCAGCATGCTCAACTTCATGAAAGTTGAGAAATGGCTCTGTTAAAAGTTAAGGGCCATTTGGTCCAACTAAGTCACTGCTATAAAGTTCTGGGAGCAGTCACCTGCTATAAAAGTCGCGTCCTTGGTTCAGGCTCAAAATTAGTGTTCTCTAAGATACCACCGTTCAGAGAAAATCTACAGAGAAGCTGGGTTTGTGATTTGAAAGCCTGAGAGGAATCACGAAAAAGCCAAGCAGCATGTCTGATATCCTATATACAGCAATAATGTACACTGTAATAAAAAATATCACCAGATAGTGCCTTAAGTATCAGTATTTTCCAACTGGCACACTCCTCTTCTTCAGCAATGCATAATATACGCTGTTTTAACGGATTTGCACCTAACAATAGCATGGGCTGTGTTCTTCAAGTAAGATGTGTGCTTATATATGCTATGGACCCAAAAGCACCCCATCTCTTTAGGATCTTTTTTTTTATTAGAGGAGTATTTATATTCCTCGTAACCCCCAGTATATGCAAACTTCTCACTTTCTTGAGGACCCAGCAGGGTACAAAACCCAATTATTTTTCTTTTACGTGTTTCAGTACAATCACTGGTGTGATGGAGCACAGCTTAGGAAAAAACCTGACTCTTCAGTTTAAGCTCTGCCACAAAACATAAAAGTTACATAAAATGTCTCTCAGCATGGAAGATGCCCTGTAGGAGGAAGCAGCATTTTCCAGCTCCTTTTTTAGCTCACGTGTCCTAGACCACTATCTTTACAATATCTAAACACTAGCAGGTATGGAAGGCAGAATGTGGACTTGTTTATTTTGGGAAGGGTGTGCCATCAGTGGCTTCCACCAGTGTTGCTCCCATGTACACCAATGGACAAATTAGTGCCACATCCTTCTTCAGGTGGAAGATGGGAGAGAGAGCAGTAGTCTTCCTCTTCTGGCCCTTCCTTCACACACGGCAGGAAGGCTTGCTGAGGCAGGGAAGTAAGCGCAGCAGCGAGTTCTGCCTTCTGCTGACTTCACGCAGTAGTCTTTATATGGAAGAGAGATACTCTGTCATACCAAAAGTAAGTCAGCAACCCCCTTGTGACCGTTCTGCTGCCACTTCTCACTCTTGGCTACTGCTGAAAAGTTCTGTCACTGTAAAGGGTCCAGTAAAATTTCCCCCAAAGGTGACCACATTTTCAAGTTCCCAGGGGCACTTCAGGCCTATGTCTTAGCACTGACTAAGCACACAGTACCTTGCCCTGTATTTCTGTCATAGGTGACTGCCTGGTTTTGGCCAACGGTTAACTTTATATCCCCAGACTTACTCTTTAATC